CTACCATTTGATAGGTTAATGGGCTTATGAATTATTAATGAGTTTTTGAAGTTTTGATTGTTTACTGTGCAAGAATACCAGCTTCAGCTTTTGTTTCTTTGGTCTTGGAAATTTAATAGAATAAACCATTGAACTTTTTTTTTTGCAATAAGTAAATCAACAGAAAAGTAAAATAACATGCTTCGTTGACATCTTTCAAAGGTTTCTCCCAAAGATAAGATTATGATGGAAAAATCCCTTTGTTATTTAAATTCTAACTAAACATATGGAAGTAAAAGATGATTGTCTAATTTTGTTTACTACAGTTTTGAATATTTAATTCTAATGATAACGGCCACCTGATAGTATCAACGAACTTGGAGGATTAGTTAACAACAAACTTTACTGCTAAATCTTGAAAAATAAAAAATAACAACATATCTGAGTTTTAAGATTATTCTGAATGGAGATGTGCATTATATATCAGCCACAGTATTTATTTACTGTGGCTACAAACTGATGACTGGGTTTAATTTTATTTTGTGTTCTTTGAAATGCTTACATGTTCAACTTTCCTACAAAAATGTTCTATGGCATCATGTAGGTATTTGACTCTTTCAACTCTGGTCTTATAGACTTAATTATTTTAGCCCAAACAAGTAAATTTAGAAAAGCATTATGGATACATAAACAACCCAAAGTGAATTTAAAATGAGACAGCCTCCTTGAGCAGCTTTAAACATCTGTGTGGGCTTTTTTTATCAACTGATTTGAGAATAGAATGAGTCTTGCGTTGGCAAATCTGGCGACGTTAGGCATGCATTCCTCATTAGAAGGCCGGGAGACAATCTCATGATATTTTTAGCAGCAAACAGAAGTTCACTTTTATGATATACGGTGGACGTATTTTTTGTCTCAGTAACCAAAGGATTTTCGTTTTGGAATTGTACATTTATATGGTTTTGTAATTGGTTATTAACAGGGAAAGTTCCTTTAAGAGAACCTCTTGACTATACGTTTTGACCCCTTCTCTCGTCAATCGTTATTTCTAAGTATTCCTTGTCCCTCCCCCGCCCTCTATCAAATAAAATGATAGCTATTCAGCCAAACAATTCCCGGTTTTTCAGAGTCCAATTTTCCCTCGGAAAGTTCTGATTAAAATTCTTAAGTCTCGGCTGCTTATGCTTATGGTAGAGCTTCTCTCTTTTCCTTTGAGTCTTTGTATTATGTCCTCACCTCCTCTCATGACAGAAATGGTCCCGTTTTGCGGATAACACTGTGGCATTTTGGGATAGATTCCAAATTTACTAATATTTCTGATGAGTAAGGAGTAAAGACATACAGACATACGCGCATGCGTACACTTAAATGAATTTTTTATTGATAAGTCAATTTTCAACAACTTAAAATTGTCAACAAGCCTGATTTCTATATGAAATTTCCTGTTAAGCTGATCAGAAATGAGAAAGTTGGGCAAATAATAATAACTGAATTCTGCGTCAAGTTCTTCGGTAGGAGAGGAAGTGCAACAAAATATGAGAACATTACAGTGACATCTTCCGCGGCCTCCCAAAGTCTTCACACAAATGAAAAAAGAAAATTGAGAGTTGCGAGTACTTTTAACTTAGTGATTTTAAATTTTATTAAAATTTCGCGGGTACTTAAGTTTGCGATTTGGGGAGACGATATTTTGCGAGGTTTTAATTTCTCGATTTCAAAAGGCAAATATAAAAAAGGGGCATTAAATTTCAAGACTCAGACGTTCTCAACTTCTTTTCAGTTTTTGACATGTCAACTTTTGATGGCCGCACGAGATATATCCTTAGGAATTTGTGCGAATTAAGAGAGCGATAAAGATGAAGGTGAGAGCTGGATTCTCTGCACCATATGCGAAATCCTTGCAAATGAACGTCATTTCACAACAGAAGACAAAAAATAGAAGTTACCAGTACATAGGACCAGTTAATGATTTATGTATTTGTTAACACGTGACAATTTTTCATGTGTTAGTTCTTGGAAAGAGGACAACAAGCTTGTTTACCGAGCTTGTTTTTAATATAATATTACTGTTTGTTTTTTTTTAAATATAATTTACAATTACATTGAAGGTTAGTCTTGCATGTGAACAATGCTTAACTTAAGACACCGAGTCTTGCAATCGATTTTCAGTTTACAAAGTTGAAGGTATAAATATTTTGATTCACAAAGTACGATGAAGTATTGGCGGGTTTTAAAACTTCCTTTCCAAAATAAATCTGAGACATTTGAAATGCTAACTATCAAAAAAAGAGGAAATGACTAGAGGGGCCAGAGGCTGACTTCATTTTGTGAACACTGTTTTTGTTTTTATCTTTTCTTTTCCAGTTCAGATTTCTCAACACATTGAGAAACTCTTCTTCAGAGGCTGAGATAAATATATGTCGAGCCCCCACTTGAGCAACTTACGTATAACCCCACCAGCTTGAGACACCTGTTAAGGTTTTATATATGTATACGAGAGTGAAATATTTGTTGTTTTGGTAAATGCGACTGCAGCATAAAAACACTTTAGCGGAGAAGTGAAACAAACACTATTCAGGTAATCTTGTAGCTTTGTGTTATAACTGTTGATGAAATTGATTTAAGTAGAGTCTTATGCTACACTGCAGGAGAAAGATAAAAGGAAACAAAAAGCTAGCATAAGAGAACATAACTTTTTGTGTCGTTATATGAGCAATTGACTCCTTAATAAAATTATGACGACGAAGAATTTTCAATAATTCTGTTAAAATTGTTACTCAGCTGCCGACTCAACTTCTTTCACAAAGAACACTGTATGGAATACTACCAGAATT